TGTGTGTGTGTGTGTGTGTGTGTGTGTGTGTGTGTGTGTGTGTGTGTGTGTGTGTGTGCTTCCAGGTGCCACCTATTCTGTACCCAGCGACTGTTAGCACATTCTAGGAGAGCGAGCAAAGCTATGTCATAAGGGAGCAGTGTGCTAATTGCTCTGTGCACCTTGCTGCTGCTATGCACAGTGCTCCAGTTCTTACCTCCCTGAGTGCTGTGTTCCAAAACATTGATACCATTAAAGGACTAAACCTTTTTGGGTCATAGTTTCACCATATTTTAGTTCATTATTTTTCTGGTGTCCATTAGTGTTGGTGTGAAAGGTCATTATTTTTCCAGGTTTGCTGAATTAGGGCTAATTGCACCAATAAGATGATGGCTGTTATAAAATTATCAGATAATTTGATGTTGACATGTGATTTGAATACTTCACGTGAATCAAGAGTGAGCATTGCCAAATCACATTATTGGTGTAATTAATATAGGAAAGTACCTCATATTTGCTAAGAGACAACTGCTTCACATAAACGTCATGTTGTGATGGAATCCCTAGGTAAAGATCCCATGGTCAGCAACTGCCAAGAGAGTTTGGGGTGTTTCAGGTGATTAAAGTATCTGTAGGTTTTGGACAGACAATGCCTAGTCTAGCAGAACTGAGGAATAAGGTACAGCATTACAAAGCAGGAAGCAGAACCTTCATAGGTAACGCAATGGCATACAATGGCTGTCCACAAGGTTTAGGAGTGTGTCTATGGGAATGTTTGACCATTCTTTCAGAAGCGAATTTGTGAGGTCAGGTACTGATGTTGGACGAGAAGGCCGGGCTCGCAGTCTCCGCTCTAATTCATCTCAAAGGTGTTCTGTCGGGTTTAGGTCAGGACTCTGTGCAGGCCAGTCAAGTTCCTCCACCCCAAACTCGCTAGTCCATGTCTTTATGGACTTTGCTTTGTGCACTGGTGTGCAGTCATGTTGGAACAGGAAGGGGCCATCCCCAAACTGTTCCCACAAAGATGGGAGCATGAAATTGTCCAAAATGTCTTGGTATGCTGATGCCTTAAGAGTTCCCTTCACTGGAACTAAGGGGCCAAGCCCAACCCCTGAAAAACAACCCCACACCATAATCCCCCCTCCACCAAACTTTACACTTGTCACAATGCAGTCAGGCAAGTACCGTTCTCCTGGCAACCGCCAAACCCAGACACGTCCATCGGATTGCCAGACAGAGAAGCTTGATTCATCACTCCAGAGAAGTGGAGACGTATTCTCTGGAGTCCAGTGGCAGCCTGCTTTACACCACTGCATCTGACGCTTTGCATTGCACTTGGTGATGTATGGCTTGGATGCAGCTGCTTGGCCATGGAAACCCACTCCATTATGCTCTCTACGCGCTGTTGTGCCAATCTGAAGGTCGTACAAAGTTTGGAGGTCTGTAGCTATTGCCTCTGCAGACAGTTGGCGACTTCTGTGCACTGTGCGCTTCAGTTTGCGCTGACCCCGCTCTGTCCTTTTTCGTGGCCTACCACTTGGTGGCTGAGTTGCTGTTGTTCCCAGTTGCTTCCACTTTGTTATAATATCACTAACAGGTGACCGTGGAATATTTAGTAGCAAGGAAATTTCACGGAACACCTGAATCCAATGATTTGGAGGGTGCCCCAATACTTTTGGCAATATAATACCTGTATGTATGTATGTATGTATGTATGTATGTATATGTACTTTTTACACGATTTTTAATGTGCTGACAAATATGTAGGCTGCCATTGCTGTTTTCTCCTTCCAAAAATGCCAGGTACTTGGCTGCCTTGTTAATCTAATGGCTTTAATATTTGAGTTGCTGACCCAGAACAAGTATGTCGATAAGGAACTCTGACTTCAAAGTACTTAAGCCATTGGCTCAGCCTAACCAGGCAACTAGCATTTTCAAGAAACTTGTGCAGATGTAGATGTACATAACCCCATTGTAACAGTCATCCGCACCCTATAGTCTGTCCATGCATTTTAAATTATCTTGTCGAAATCACACCTATCAGGTGTGTGACTGCTGGACAAACATAGGATTTATTACATTGTATCCATAGTCAGTAGCAGTGTTGGTGTTGCCCAATGCATACTACAGTTGACCTGGTGATTGTTCTTGCGGACTGATGACAGTGGGGAACATGTCCAGTTTGCGCTTCTTATATCTTTCCCACCTGCTCAGTCTTGTGGTCTGACTGTGTTGTCTTAAGGTGGCCATACACTCTACAACCATCGCAAGACTTTAGTCTTGCGATGGTTGTACAGGGATTAAAAAAACGTACGATCTGCCTATCTTGGACAGGCAGATCGCACTCTCGATCATCGCAAGCCCGCCCCCCTGAGGGGCGGGCTTCCGATGACCGCAATGCTGAACGGGCAGTGTGCGCGTGCGCACACCGGCCCGTTCGGCATTTGTCTTCCGAGCACCGTTCTAACCAGCCGAGAATCGTACGATTCCCGGCGGGTTTTCAAACATGCTGGTTCGATGGAAGACGTGCGACCGTACAGTAGAAACGGTCGCACGTCTCCGTTCACACTGCTCGATTATCGTACGAAAAACCGATCGCATACGATTATCGTACGATAATCGTGCAGTGTATGGGCACCTTTTAGTAGGCGGTTGGGCCTGAGGGTCAGTCGAGGTTTCGCAGCTGATGGTGGGGCAGTAACCTGGAGTTATTTATCGGCAGTGGTTTATCTTCCTTCAAGGAGAGTCCAGGCCAAAGCCTTTTCTTTTGAACATATGGAAACTTTAGTTAGGAGTGAGCTTTGGAATTAGACACTCATATTGGTGCGGCCAGCACTTATTTAAAGCAAATCTGTTAAAGACATGAAATCTAAATCTTGGTATGTGACGCAATGGGAAAAAGATATATAGGCAGAGGTAACTATCGGTGAAAACTGTAACTAAAAATAATTAGTAGATCCATTCAGCTAAAGTTGTTGTATCCAGATCTTGCATTTCCTGGTGGAAGTCTGGCTTGGTCTCGCCTAGGGATGCACCGGTATCGAGTAAGAATACCGATATATATTTTTCGGTACTCGCCGTTACCGGAAGTCCCATTAATGAAGCCGGGTGGCGTGTAATGACTCGATTACCCAGGAAGCCAGCTCCATGCTCCCTGGTGACAAGGGAGCATGGAGCTAGCTTCCCGGCCTATCAGGAAGCCTTGCAGCGTGTAATGAATGACCTGCCGCCCAGCTTCCTGATACCGGAAGTTCTGGTATCGGGAGCGCTTGGTATCGGCACCTATACTAGTATCAGTGCATCCCTAGTCTTGCTCACTCCCACTTTCAGAGCCTCCATATTGGTCCTTCCCTGCAGCTTGGCTCCCCTTTCGCTCTGGCGGTGTAAGGTCCCACGAGCCGTCATGTCCAATATAGTGTATTATACTTGAGGATGTGGAGATGGAGCGGGACAGGGCTAGCTGCCAGCCAGGACTGAGATTTGGTACATCTTGATTATTTTAAATCCCTGGACAAAACAAGCACTTAACCCTTGCAGTGCAGGGTAGCCCCACTACAAGGGTTAAGATATCATATGCCTGGAGTTGTTCCATATATCTGAATCTACTATTTTTATTTTCACATGTGGTTTTCACTGAAGGTGAATTCTGTCTGCTATGTTGGTTCTCCGTTTTATTTGCTAGGGCTTGTTACAGGTTTACTTAAGATTTTCCGACAAGATAATCTACACTTTTCAGAGAACCCAATCATGTTTAATTAGGTTGACACACAAAGAAACCCCCTAAGGGTTTTCTTATTTTTTGTGTGACAGGCCTGCAAATGTAGCAGTTCTGATGCTTTATTAAAGCTGACATGAATGTGTGGCATTGCCCAGTTATGTTCTCTATAGGCTGGGCTGTGTGACTTGTGTACTGAGCTGTGTGCCGGATTTACAATGCGGTAGGGCTGCAACAACTAATCGACATAATCGATTATTGAAAAAGTTGTCAACTTTTTCAATAATCGATCAGCTTCCGAAGTAGACCCAGCAATAATACATTATACAGTGGTGCAATGCCGAATACCACTAGCTATAGAGGACTACAAAACCCAGCAACAGTACATTATACAGCGCAATGCAGAATACCGCCAGCTATAATGTACTATTTCTGGGATTTGTTGTAGTCCTCTATAGGTGGTAATATTCTGCATTGCGCTGTATAATGTACTATTGCTGGGATTTGTAGTCCACTTTCCATTTCACTATATTGCACACCACACCATTTTTTTACTTCCACCGCTCCAAGCTTGCTCCTGTGATGGACTACAACCTCAATACAAACTAGTAGTCCATCACTGGAGCCATTTTTTAAAATGTATTTTATTTATCCGATTAACCGATTAATCGAACTTAATAATCGGCTAACTAATCGATTTTGAAAATAATCGTTAGCTTCAGCTCTACAATGCGGCTACAACTGTTGTTGAGTGTCACAGATGATATGTGAGTGCAGAC